GGATTTGGGTGGACGATCTTGCCCAGAGAGCAGTTGGTTCCAGAACAGATGTCAAGACTCAACTATGTGCCAGCCTGAAGGACACCTGCCGTGGATTGGCCGCTATCAAACTGCAAGTAGCCGCTAAGAGCGTTGCGGTGTGCAGTCATCACCCCGACGCTATCAAGATCTGTCGATCTTCGCGGCTGGCAGGGTTTCAGGTCCGTGCTCAACGTCATGCGTACACGTCGGAAAAGATTAGCAAAGCATCAGAAGATGCACACCAAGATTCAGAAGTATGCGGTAGCAGGTCGCAAGTATGCAGTGACATCAGAATTGGAGAGATCGGGGGCGCAAGCTGCAGGACTGTACGGCCACCAGTTGCATGGCACGTTCGGGGCGTACATGGATGTTTCTCGCCGTCGGCTTGCTGCTGCCATTGCCGCGCCATCCAAAGGACGATACCTTACCACTTGTTTGGCTATCAGGTCACCGGTGGACCCCGCTCTCCGACTACCAGAAGAGATGTTGCGACAATGGTTCCGTGTCTGGCAGGAAGAACCCAAATTACGATCAGGCGTCTGCCGCGTGTGGAGTCCCTTGGTGGAGAACCTGCGCGCCATCTCCCCAGGGCAACGCACGCGGCACATTCGTGGTCCCGTGTCAGCCGTCATTACCCTTCTGATTAATAACGGCTGGGATCCGAGGGAAGCCACACATTGGACACTGACTCCAAACGCACTAGAGCAGGAGTCCATCGACTGGCAGTTTCCAGATGATGTAGGGACAGGCTGGCCAGACGTTGATGATTCAGGAGTACTGCTCACAGACATTCAGAATGCCATCTCACAGCAGTCATTGAATCGAGCAGCTCAGCACTACTGTGGATCAGGCCTGGAAAACGGTGTGGACGTTGGTTATCTCAGACACCTACACCAACAACTATTGCAGGTCGGCTATCGGAATTACTTGTTACGACTGCAGCTGGAGCGTTTTCTTACGTGATCGCAAAGCAGAGTACGCCAGCGGCAAGAATATCACAATCGATCCAACTTGCCAGAGATGCGAGGAAGAGCGTGAGACTGCTTTCCACAGGATCTGGGGCTGCCGATGCAACTCTGGGGCAGCTGCTTACACTTTCTCTGGTAAGTTGATTGGAGAGGCGTACTCTGGATGGGAATCAGCTGAATATGTCTGGCTCCGAGGGCTTCTCCCGTCGTCGTGGGTTGCGGTTCTTCCCCCTATGAGTGCGGAAGACTGGTTTTATTCTGGCGAGGCTCTGTCTGGCAGTTTTAGGTCTGGGACTCGTGCACAACCTTTGTTACTGGAGATTCTCGGTATCGCAGGGTCGGCCTAGCAGTGGCCCATGTAGTAGATTTCAACCCGATTCGTATTCAGAGTTCGGTTTCTGGAAGTCTCACGGGGACTCGACAGTCTGTTCCCAGAGGCGAGATGAGGGCTATACTTCGTGCCACCGAGATGACCGACGGACCGATAGTATACACAACAGACAAGCAAGGAGTGGCAGATGGGTGGAGCGAGCGTCGCTTCGAGAATCCATGCGGTCAGGACGCAGATCTATGGCACAAGGTAGGGCAACGATTCCGTTCGGGACGCAAGTCGACCTCGATTGTGGTGTTATTCGTCAACTCGCACCTGGGGCCCCGTGGGATGCTTACTGGAAGATCCCCAACGTGGATGATTCTGGGGGATGCGGTCGCGGACGTCTTCGCAGGAGCAGCTGCCCAGCGCGTGTAGGTGGATCCCGAGGCACAGTTTCGAGCAGAGATGTGGGAGCAAAAAGCTTATCTCGTCAGGCTGCGCCTTCTCCGTGCCGTGCCACGGTCGACGCGTTAAATCGTGAGAGTGAGCTGGAGCCTGTGGGGAGAAACAAATGTGAGCCACCACTACCCCCTCCGCCTGCACGGTCCGTTGTCCAGATGTTTACTACGTCTCACGCTTTAGACGAATCTGGACGTACATGCATCAGATGCTGTAGCTCCGTTACCAAAGCCAAGCAGGGCGTGTGACGTGAGATCCCGTGTGTTCACCCTGCGCACGTGAATAATGTTTAGTTCGGGGTCCCGTCAAGAGTTGAGTTGCACCTAGCGGGGGGGTCATCCATCGCATTGCATGCGTCTCCAGTCAGGTCTAAAGCTTTGGTTCTGCAGTAGTTGCGGGTGTTTCGCAAGTCAGATGTTGAAGGACCTGGGACAAGAATGCCCCAAGGCGACGAATTCCAATCGAGCCGATGATTTAAGGAGGATCTCTGAAGGCCTGTGACCCAAGATTCTGAGCAAGGCCGAACAGGCTCGGCGGATGTCGTAGTTCAGGGGATGTCGCTGTGCGACTGGGGTCACCCACTCGCTCCTCCCCCTCCTCCTCGCCCTCCTCCTCATCCACAGCCTCCTATTCCTCCTCCTCCTCCGCATCCTCCTCCTCCTCCTGCTCCTCCTCATCATCACCAGCATCGTCGCATCATCATCGTCATCATCAGTATCGTCGTCATCATCGTTATCGGTATCATCATCAACAGCAACATCATCAGCATCAGCAGCAGCATCATCAGAAGCAGCATCAGCACCATCAGCATCATCATCAGCAGCAGCATCATCAGCATCATCATCTTCATCATCGTCGTCATCAGCTTCATCATCAGCATCCTCATCATGATCAGCATCAGCATCGTCATCATCACCGTCAGCCTCATCATCGTCGTCATCGTCATCATCATCAGCAGCATCATGATCAGCAGCAGCGTCATCATCAGCATCATCATCCGCATCTGCATCCTCCTCCTCACCATCACCATCATCAGCACCAGCGCCATCAGCATCATCAGCATCGTCATCTTCATCCTCATCCGCATCCTCATCCTCATCAGCAGCATCAGCATTATCAGCATCAGCATCATCATCATCAGCAGCAGCATCATCATCATCCGCATGTTCCTCCTCCTTCCTCGTCTCTCCTCCCCCTCCCCCTCCCCCTCCTCCTCCTCCTCCTCCTCCTCATCCTCCTCCTCGTCCTCCTCCTCCTCCTCCTCCTCCTCCGTCTCCCCCCCTTGCTCCTCCTCCTCCTCATCCGATTCCTCCTCCATCGTCTCCCTCTAGGGGTAATGCGTCTTACCCGATCCATTTTATTACACGGCATTATGTTCCGCATCCCTGAACAGGGCAGCTCATCTGGGCATCGTTTCTGGATGTCTGAAAAGGAGAGGGCACACAAAACATGCGAAACGATCCTTACTGGGCGAACTTAGTCAGAACCTGGGCACCAAGCTATGAAAAAAAGCCCGCCGAGGGCGACATGACCAAGTGCCCTTTTAGGGCCACCATAATAAACGGAAATGTCCAACATGCGTAGTGAATCCCAGCGCAGCTTCATGTTTCACCTAGCACGCCGAAGGCTTAGAAGTCGTCTCACCGAGCGCAGTATGCAACTACAAGCACATATATAACGATGCACGGTAAGCCAAAAATCTCGGAGAGATGCTACATGTAGCCCAGGTATACGCACAATGGACGGGGAATGGCTATCAAGTTTTCTGCGCAGCAAAGAGGGCTCACCTGGCACCGCAAGAAGGTTGAGGTGAAAGCGAGGCATGGCATCTGCAGCAAAGAGCGCAGCACCTTAGATGCAGCATGAAGGACGCAAGATACGTGGGCTCCTCGCAATGCCCGCAGAAAGCCTGGGGGTAGCCCAGGGGTGCAACAGTCCTGATACGAAAACTGCACGCGTGTCACGTTGAGGAAAAGGGACGCCCGATGTTCTGACTTCGGCTGAGAACTGTGTCACTGCTCATCTGCATATTGCACTATGCTGGGCATATTCTTACGCTCCACACACAGAAACACACGCACGCGCACACACACACACACACACACACACACACACACACACACACACACACACACACACACACACACACACACACACACACACACACACACACACACACACACGCGCACGCGCGCACGCACGCACGCACACACACACACACACACACACACACGCACGCACGCACGCACGCACGCACGCACGCACGCACGCACGCACACACGACACACACACACACACACACACACACACACACACACACACACACGCACACGCACGCACGCACGCACGCACACACGCACACCGCACACACACACACACACACACACACACACACACACACACACACACACACACACACACGCGCGCGCATACACACACACACACACCAAAGCGACATCCTGGTGGGACGGAAGCCCACGCCTTTCCCTGCTGGAGACATGATTCCAGCAAGCCACCCTGGGCTGCTGGAAGGATGCTGGAAGGGCCCTGAGAGGCTCATGAGAGGCTCCAGAGAGAGGATTGAGAGGCGGCTCCTGATAGGCTCATGCGACCCACGAGAGGGTCATGGAATGTTCCTGAGAAGCTCAGGGGAGGCTCACGAGAAACTCTTGGGAGGGTCCTGACAGGCTCGTACAACGCTACTTGGAGGGTACTGGGGAGCTTCTGATAGGCTTATGAAAAAGGCCATTGGAGGCCCTTGAGAAGGGTTCTCACCCAGTAGGCTCCTGAGAGACTCCTGAGGCTCTTGAGAGGCAGCTGAGAGGGTCCGGCAGGGGCATGCAAAGCTCCTACAAGAGCCCTGAGATGGTCTGAGACGGTCCCAAGAGGCTCACGAAAAGGTGCCTGAGAAGCTCACGCGTATGACTTAACAGATCCAATGATGGGTTGAAACAAAGCGGGTTAGAGCATGTTGTAGAATTGATGCTGGCATGATTGCCCAAGAAGCATCATTCTCGAGACAGGAGCTACCCAGCAGCCTGCAAAGCAGCGCGACGGCAGCCGCCAAGAACCCAGAACATGTGGATAGTTGTTAACATTGCTGGCAACCCCAGAGCGAGACGCTATTAGGACAAGTAGCCAAACGTAAAACAGGTGCTAACCCATCCTGGCAAGACGCCGCAGCGTTTACTTGATTGGACCTTTGCGAGGGACGGCAACTGCCAGGGGACGCCCGCGTCCGTCAGGCCATCGCGGTACTTCCTGAGCTCCTCGCACTGCGTGAACCTTTCATGGTAGTGCTTCGGGTTGCGGGAGAATTCCAGCAAGATGAGACCCTTGGGGGCGTTAGCGGTAAGACGGTCTGCGAGGATAGCCTTGGCGACCTGCTCGTTCTCGGGACCGGCTAGAGCGTCCACCTCGCACAAACTCGCCACCACTGCAGCCTCATAGTCGAAACATGCAGGGGAGGTCCCGAAACGGAGATCAAGCGACGAGCGCTCCTCCGACGCAGACGCGGACGGGGCGCCAGATTGCGGTGACGGATTTGCTACACGCGGACCAGATCGATGCTGCTGGCAGTGCTTCTTGTGGTCGCGCCAGTCCCTCCGCTGGCAGTGCGCCGAACAATACCACACACGGCGGCATCCCGTGCACTCCTGCATTTTTTTGCACTTGACTTCACAGGCGGCGCACGCCAGCTTGCAAGGACTGCGGCATGCCTCCTGGAGGGCCTCTGTGTTTTCATTGCGGTGCACCCGCGGAGAACGTGCCTGCGCTTTCTCGAAGTTCGACTCGACGCCCTGACGCAGGGCGCTGGCATCTGCACCTCCGCACGGCAACAACTCCTCGCCCAGCGAAGTCTTCAGCGCACACCAAATGGAGGACACGGCCTCGGTCACCTCTGCATTCCCTCCGCGGTAGGCCTCCTCGAAGAGCTCCTGGGCCTTCTCGACGCTCTGCGGCACGCCCATGCCGTCCAGGTACATATCCCCCAACCGCAGGGCGGCCGCTGGCTCTCCACCGCGGTAGGCCTCCTCGAAGAGCTCCCGGGCCTTCTCGACGTTCTTCGCCACGCCCATGCCGTCCAGGTACATCTCCCCCAACCCCAGGGCGGCCCCTGGCTGTCCACCGCGGTAGGTCTCCTCGAAGAGCTCCCGGGCCTTCTCGGCGTTCTTCGCAACGCCCATGCCGCGCAGGTACATCTCCCCCAACCGCACGGCGGCCGCTGGCACTCCACCGCGGTAGGCCTCCTCGAAGAGCTCCCGGGCCTTCTCGACGCTCTTCGGAACGCCAATGCCGCCCAGGTACATCTCCCCCAACCGCACGCCGGCCGCTGGCTCTCCACCGCGGCAGGCCTCCTCGAAGAGCTGCCGGGCCTGCCTGAAGCTCTGCGCCACGCCCATGCCGCCCAGGAACATCTCCCCCAACCGCAGGGCGGCCGCTGGCTGTCCACCGCGAGAGGCCTCCAAGAAGAGCTCCAAGGCCTTCTCGACGTTCTTCGCAACGCCCATGCCGTCCAGGTACATCTCCCCCAACCGCACGGCGGCCGCTGGCACTCCACCGCGGTAGGCCTCCTCGAAGAGCTCCCAGGCCTTCTCGACGTTTTTCGCCACGCCCATGCCGTCCAGGTACATATCCCCCAACCGCAGGGCGGCGTCTGGCTCTCCACCGCGGTAGGCCTCCTCGAAGAGCTCCCAGGCCTTCTCGACGTTTTTCGCCACGCCCATGCCGCCCAGGTACATCTCCCCCAACCACGCGGCGGCCGCTGGCTCTCCACCGCGGTTGGCCTCCTCGAAGAGCTCCCGGGCCTTCTCGACGCTCTGCGCCACGCCCATGCCGCCCAGGTACATATCCCCCAACCGCAGGGCGGCGTCTGGCATTCCACCGCGGTAGGCCTCCTCGAAGAACTCCCGGGCCGTCTCGACGTTCTTCGCAACGCCCATGCCGCGCAGGTACATCTCCCCCCACCGCACGGCGGCCGCTGGCACTCCACCGCGGTAGGCCTCCTCGAAGAGCTCCCGGGCCTTCTCGACGCTCTTCGGAACGCCAATGCCGCCCAGGTACATCTCCCCCAACCGCACGCCGGCCGCTGGCTCTCCACCGCGGCAGGCCTCCTCGAAGAGCTGCCGGGCCTGCCTGAAGCTCTGCGCCACGCCCATGCCGCCCAGGAACATCTCCCCCAACCGCAGGGCGGCCGCTGGCTCTCCACCGCGGTGGGCCTCCTCGAAGAGCTCCCGGGCCTTCTCGACGCTCTTCGGAACGCCCATGCCGAGCAGATCCGCCATCGTGCCTGCTCGATGTGGACATGTCAAAACCTTGACCTGCACGAGAACGGAAACAGCACTTCAGGAACTTCCCCGACAGGGATCATGGTACCGTTCGCCCGTGGTAGCCTTGGCATGGACAGCTTTGCCACGTCAACTTTCGCTCGTGGGAGCCTTGGTGTGAAGAGCTTGTTCACGTCATCGCTCGCTCATGGGAGCCTTGGCACTAAAAGCTGTTTACGTCGCCGTTCGGTCTTGGGAGCCTGGGTGTGAAGATTTTTGCACGTCACTATTCAAGATTAGGAGCCGTGGAGTGAAGAGCTGTTTACGTCAGCGTTCGCTCTTGGAAGCCTTGGCGTTTAGAGCTGTTTACGTCACCGCTCGCTCATGGGAGCCTGGGCGTTCAGACCTTTTTGCCCAACTGCTCGTTCTTGGGACCCTTCGCGCTGAAAGATTTGCACGTCACCGACTCGTGTGAATAAGCCGTTCTGGTCACCTGGTGCTTTGGGAGCCTTCGCGTCAAAGCTGCGTGTCCGGCATTGGGCCGTCCGGGGGGGGACATCCTGGCGGCTCTTTCGGGTGTTCTGGGGCCCTCTTGGGCCGTCTCGGGTTGGGGCCCTCTTGGGGTTCTCTTCGGCCCTCTTGGGGGCCTCCTACGGCACTCTTGGGGCTCTCTCAGGAGCCTCTTGGGGCCCTCCTGGGCCCCTCTGAAGCTGTCTTACGGCTCTCTGCGGCCAGCCTGGGGCCCTCTAGGGCTGTCCAGGGTCCTCTTGGGACAGCCTCGGGGACCCTCAAAGCCGTATTCAACCGATCTGGGTCCGAAAAGGCAAGAACCCCAAAAAGGTCCTCTCGGGAGGCTCTTGGACTGTCCTCGAAGCCTCTTGGGCCATCTTGGGGGGCTTGGGTCGGCTTGGGGACCTCTCGCGGCCATCTTGGGTCCGCTTTGGGTCCGCCTATAAACCTCTTGAACTCTCTTGAGAGCCTCTTGGGGCACGCTTTGGCCCCTCTTGGGGCTCTCTATGGCCGTCCTGGGGGCCGCTTGGACCGTCTTCGAACCCTCTTGTGAGCCTCCTCGGCCGTCTTGGGGCAATCTCGGAAGACATCAGATCAGTCTTTCGGCCGATCTGGACCCGACAAAGCGAACACCAAAATCAAGCCATGCAACACATCTGGGATATCAATGCATGTTGCTTCCTCAGGCAGCCTGGGGATCCTCTGGGGAGGCTCTTGGACCGTCCCGGGAACCTCTTAGCACGGCGTTGGAAGCTTGGGCCATCTTCGGGCCCTCTCAGGGCCCTCTTTGGCCTTCTTGGCGGCCTCCTCGGGCCCTCTTGGGGCTCTCTTGGGAGACTCTGTGGCACCTCTGGGCCCCTCCTGGGGCCCTCTTGGGCTGTCTTGCGGCTCGCTTGGGCCGTCTCGGGGCCCGCTCAGGTGCCTCTAGGGCCGTCTTGAGGCGATATTTGCGGCAACTTGGGCCTCTTGGGCCGTCTTTGGCCGTCTTCAGCTCGAACAAGGCAATCAAAAACATAATGGAAATCCTTTGCTGGGCCTCCGGATGCCCTCTGGGGGGCCCTCTTGAAGGCCTCTTCAGGACCTCTTGGGCCGTGACGCGGCCACCAGGAACACTCTGGGAGCGCTCTTGGACGGTCTTCGGGTCATCTTGGGTCTCTCTGAGGCCGTCTTGGGGGCTTCCCTGGCCATTGAGGCCGCATTGAGGCATCCAGGGCCACAACTTCCGCCAACATGACCCCCAGAGGGCGTTAGAGACCTCGGCCAGCACGGGAACAGAAAGAGCGGGTCCGAGGAGCGGATATTTCACACGGTCTTGGGAGTTCGGCGGCCGTTTACACGGCAGCGATTTGAACATAGGGATTGCCATGTATGCTTGTTGGAGCAAACTGGAGTGCGAGTCACAGTAGGACGGCCGCCGTGGTAATCGGAGTTGTTATGTCGCCGTCCGCTCCGAGGAGTCTTGGCGGTCAGAGTGTTTGACGGCATCGTTCGCTCTGGTGGGGCCTCGTAAGGGGCTCTTGGAGGCATCTCGGAGTGCCTCTTGGAAGCCTATTGGGGGTCTTTGGGGCCGTTTGGGCGCCTTCTGGGGCCCTCTTGGACCGTCTTAGGGAGGCTTGGGCTGGCTTGGGGCGATCTCGGGGCCCTCTTGTGAGCCTCCTGTGGCTCCATTGGGGCTCTCCTGGGAGGCTCTTGGGCCTCTGTGGGGCCCTCCTCGGCCCTCTTGGACCGTATTGGGGAGCTTGGGCCGGCTTGGGGCGCTCTCGGGGCCCTCTTGTGAGCCTCCTATGGCTCCCTTGGGGCTCTCCTGGGAGGCTCTTGGGCCTCTGTGGGGCCCTCCTTGGCTGGTCTTGGGGCTCTCCTGGGCCGTCTTGAGGCGCTCGTGGACCGTGTGGGAGCCTCTGGGGACGCCTTAGGCCGACCTCGGAGGCCCCCAGGGCCGCGATTGGCCGTTTCTGACCCGAAAAAACACGAACCCCAAAATCCTCATTTGCCTCTGGCGTCCCTCTTCGAAGTCCTCGTGGGGGCCTCTTGGGCCGTCTGGGCGGCTTCTAGGACCGTCTTGGGACCATCTTCGCCCCTTTTGGAGCGCTCTTAGGCTGTCTTGGGGCCTCTTGGGCGTCTCTTGAGCCGTCTTGGGGGTACCTTAAGCCGTCTTGGGGGCCTCTTGGGGGTCTCTTGGACCGTCCTGGGCCGAAAAAGCAGCCAGCATGGCCCCCGGAAGGCGTGTTCGAAAATTCTCCTCCGCCACGCCCCCTTTCCAGACCCCCCCCTTGGGGCTAAAGCTCTGTGCAGAACTTCTCTCGCTAGCGCTCTTTCCGTCATTTCGGCTGGCCACGCCGCCCCCCCCCCCCCCCCCCCAGCACCCCCATTGGGGCTAAAGCCCTGTACTCGGCTACACGCAAGAGCGACCCTGGGTAAGAGTGACCTTTGGTGCGCGGCTTTTGGGGGGCCGCGGTGGGGACCAAACACAAGCGCGCAAGACGCTACCACCACATCGCGTTCGGCGATGGGGGGACCCCATTTGGCCTGCACCAAAGGTCACTCCGGCGAAAGGTCACTCTTACGTCTAGTCGATGTACAGAACTTCTCTCGCCCGCCCCCCCCCCTCTACTACTGGTCCCGAGGCCACGACCCCTCGTCGACAAAAAACGATGGATCCGCATGCCCGAGGCCACGATCCCTCTTAAAAAAGCTACGGGTCTACGCCCCGAGCTGGCCCAGGCAGGCAACCAAGGTAACTAAGATGGCTCAAGATGCCCCGAAGGCTTGCCGAGATGACCCCAAGGCGGCTGAATATGGCCTCAAGACTGCCCGAGATGCCCCCAGGAGGGTCCAAAAAAGGGCCCCAAGAGGACCTCCAACAGGACCCGAAGAAGCCGAATGCCTTGATTTCCCGTTGATTCTTCAATGAATTGCGCATTGTCCTTTTCGGCCGTCCGTCAGACCAAGACGGCCCACGAAGCTTCTACGATGACTTTGAGACGGTCCAAGAGGACCCCACGAGGGCCCATAGGTGTCCCAAGAGGACCCGACGAGGGCCCAAGAAGCATCTAAGACGGCCCCAAGACGGCCCAAGAGGGACTCCCATGGGACCGAGACCCAAGACGGCTTGAGAAGCCCCTTTCACTGCCAAAGACGATGCCAAAACGGCCCACACTCCCACGAGGGCCCCAAGACGACCCAAGACAGCCCCAAGACGGCCTGAGAGGGCCCCAAGACGGCTCAAGAGGACCCAAGGGACCCCCAAGACTACCTCCTAGGAGGCCAACACAGCCAAAAGACGGCCCTAACGAGTTCTACGCCAGCTCCTCAATCCGTGAAGGCGAACGGTGTCGCGTGTGACGGCCTTACTCTTCCTCCTCCTCCTCCTCCTCCTCCTCCTCCTCCTGCGTATCCTCCTCCTCCTGCTTATCCTCCTCCTGCCCCATCCTCCTCTTCCCTTTCATCATCATCATCATCATCATCATCATCATCATCATCATCATCATCATCATCATCATCATCATCATCATCATCAGCATCATCATCATCATCATCATCATCATCATCATCATCATCATCATCATCAGCAGCAGCAGCAGCATCAGCATCAGCATCAGCATCAACATCAGCATCATCAGCAGCATCATCAGCATCATCATCAGCAGAGCCAGCATCACCATCATCAGCAACATCACCACCAACATCAGCATCACCACCTCCACCACCTCCACCACTACCATTGTCATCAGCATCATCAGCATCGTCATCATAATAATCAGCATCACAAGACCACCACGGCTTCCATAACCCTGGAGACACGAGTTGTCACGCGTGACGGCTTCCCGTGCTCTCTCGAGCAGCCGCCACCCAGAATGCTGGGTTGCCACGGTGGCCAGACTTGCCGCAGGCAGCTGGATACATGTCACCCAAGTTGAGGGCACACTGTGGCGACCCTTCGCGCCACCCCTCCTCAAAGAGATTCTTGGCCCTCCCGAGATTCTGTTCAACGCCCCGGCCAAGGAAGTACAAGTTCCCCAACTGAGACAGCCCAACACCACTGCCAGGCTCGATGGTGAGCAATTCCTCAAGCAGCCGCGCCTCTTCTGCGAACTGTCCCTGAGCGTTGCAAAGAGCGGCCTTATTCTGCAGGTCGCTTGCCGGGAGGAGGTCCGAACAGGCAGAGCAGCAGAGCGGACAGCGGTCGGAGGCCCCGTACCGCCGCATGCGGAACACACAGAGCTCGTGAAGAAAGTGGCCACAGCTGAGTCGCTGCGTGCCCCTGACGACGAGGCTCTCCAGGCAGATCGCGCAGTTGTCCGCCTCCTTCAGGGCGGCAAACGAGAGAGCCGACGCCCCCTCCTCCTCCTGCTGCTCCTCCTCCTCCTCCTCCTCCTCCTCTCCTCTCCTCCTCCTCCTCCTCCTCCTCCTCCTCCTCCTCCTCCTCCTCCTCCTCCTCCTCCTCCCCCTCCTCCTCCTCCTCCTCCTCCTCCTCCTCCTCCTCCTCCCCCTCCCCCCCCCCCAGCCTTCCATGCCTTCAACAGGAAGAAAAGGGGGGGGGGCTCACTTGAGGGCCGCGACTCGCCCACGCGCGACGCCGTTCCTGGCCAGCTCACACAGGAAGGAGCTCCAGGGAGCCTCGCGCTCAACAGAAAGTGAGGGGGCTAAATATACAGAGAGAGGGGAAGAAAAGAGAGAGAGAGAGAGAGAGAGAGAGAGAAAGAGAGAGAGAGAGAGAGAAAACAAAAAAAGTCTGGGGTAGAGAGAGGGAGAGAGCGGGAAAAAAAGGAGAGAGTACCGACACGTATACATCTATATATATATATATATATATATATATATCGCTCGTACCTGAGGGCGCCACTAGGGTCCTTCCGAGGCCTACGCGGGCACTCTAGTCAACTCCACGAGAGCCACTGCTGCTCGTCGAATTTCGCACAGATGACCAGTTGATGGAGCGACGGCGGAAGCGAGACACGTGCAGTGTTGCACATGTGGAACGCCATGACTTTGGCCTCCACGGCCTCGAGAGTCGGGGCTCCATTGAGCCCGATCCTGGCCAGTACACAATTCGGGGGGTCACGGCCCCTTGGATAGGCCAGACCCCACAAAACTTCACACTGGAGATAGTGAGCGAAAGTATCTGGGGCTGGAATCAGCGGGGGCTCGCGATAACGAAATTTACATGACTGTACTCCGCCCGCCGCGTGGAGCCTGGCCGTTGTTAGCCACGTTCCCACTATCGTCTTCAGCACTGCACTCTGCCATGCAGGGCTGACCTGCTCGAGGATTCCACGGGGAGGAGGCCAGGAGTGGCGAACAGCTCCGAGGCCCAACGATTTCTGACGCCGCGCCAGCACCACGGGGAGGACGTCGGGGAAGAGGGAAGAGTGAAGGGAACGAGAAATAGTTTTCTGGACCCGCACGCGCGCCGCCCTCTGCTCGGCAGCGGCACGCTCCTCAGCCAGGGCGCGCCACGCCTGGGCGGCATGGCGTGCGAGCGAGGCCTCACTCACGAAGCCCTCGGCGGCCGCTGCCAGGCCCACGACCACTGGCTGTGTCTTCCAGTGGATGGGCGTGCACCGTGCCTGGCCGATCGCCAGAAGGGAGCCGTGGTCCACCGTCTGCTCCTCGAGCCATGAGTGGAGGCTCCGCCAGTTGGTGATCGTGGCCGTCGCAGCTCTCGTGAGGGACGCGAGTCCCGTGGCCAGCATGGACCTGACCCTCAGTGAAGGCGCCCACTGCCCCAGGCTGAGCAGGTCGCCCCTGGCCATGCTCTGCGGCGGCATGCGCCAGATCTTCGTGATCGCCCACGCCTCACGATCCAGCAGCTCCTTGGGCACCCGCGCGACCTGCTGGAGGTAGCCCAGCACTGGGAGGATCCTCTGGTTGTAGAGCTTGGCCGCCAGCGACGCGTGGGCCCCGCACTGGGCCAGGTCGATGACGCGAGCATGCCACTTCGCGGCCGCCTTCCTCCAGATGTCCTGCTCCGACGCTCATGGCCCGATCATGTACCCGAGATACTCGGCGAAGCCCCGAACCGACATGGCAGCCCAGCTCGGGACCCAAGCCTTCAACCACATCGTGAGCTCCTGCTTGGACTCCTCCGTCACGGGGCCGCCCAAAGGAATGAGCACACACTTGGCCAGCTTCAAACGAAGCCCTGCCAACACTCGGGCCGCCTCGAACGCCATCCACATGCCCGGAAGGAGCCGCCTCGATCGCAACACCGCGCCTACGTCATCCGCGCACACGCCCAGGGCCGAGTACGAGCTCCTGTCCGTGCACCGCTGCATGCGGTGAATGAACGGGTTCATGATGATGGCCGACAGCGAGCCTGACGACGGGCAGCCTTGAGCCAGCCCGCATGTGATGCATGCAAAGTGCACCATCAGGCCCGCCATCTGGACGCACGCCGTGGGCAGCCAGTAGTGAGGTGAGGGTGAAGAGCAGGCCCCCCTCGAAGCCCGAGAAGACCAGCATCGCGAAGAGCCACTCGACCATCATCGACGGGAACGCGTCGCCGAAGTCGCAAAGCGCCACCAGGGGCTCGAGGGTGGCCACATCATCCTGATAGCCCGCAACGCGGGCGGTCGTGTCCAAGAGCGCGATGCTATCCAGAAAGTTCCGCCCTCGCAGAAATCCTCGTTGTGGAGCGGGCGAGGCACATTCCACTGCGCCCTTGATGCTAAAGTTGGCCGAATCAGCGACCAGCTTGCAATCTGAGTTCTTGAGAGCGATCGCCCGAGTGGAACCGGGTGACCGATAGAGTCCGTCAGCGAGGTCCTCCTCGAAGGACCCCTTAGGGAGGAAGGCCATCAGGTGATCGTTCCAGTCGACTGGCGGCGGTAGACCCGCCGCAATGTCGAGCGCCACGTCCTCGATGGAAGCCACAGCCGCGGGGCGCGACCGCCATGCAAGGTATTGCAGCCCGTCTGGGCCAGGCGCAGACTCTTTGGCCCTCGCCGCAGCCCGCATCAGAGATCGCATGTCAGGCGGCAGGATGTCCGCCACCGCCAGCTTCGGGGCGTGCTCCTTCATGAAGCGCTCGGCCAGGCTCCCCCACCCGTCGACCTGCGTCTTGGCCTGGAAGATGGGGGCCCAATGATCACGAAGCGCCCCCATCATGTCCTCCTGGCCGTGGAGAACCTGGACACCGCCACCCTCCGCAGGCACGCTGACGCCCTGCAGCTTGAGCGAGCGACCGAAGGGAGCCCACAGGGCCGCCCGACGAATGAACTTCCTGCGGAGGGCATTGACTGCCTTGAACGAGGTGCTGTCGAAGGCCTTCTTCTCCCGCTCGTCGAGCGCCGCCGACCGCGCCTCGAAATGCAACTGCTGCTCCTGAGCGAAGTCCCTGGCGAAGGTCGGGGGATGAATAAGATTTACCTCCGTCTCTGTCACACTGAGGCAAGTGCGGGCGAGCTCACAGGATTGAAGTAGCCGACGTCCGAGCACCACGTCGTCGCGCCAGACCGCCCTTGACATCGAACGACGTACCATCAGCTTGGTCTCGCCTAGCGGGCGCTGCAGCCGCAAGTTGCGCACAAACTTGGCGGCCTCGAACATCAGCTCCTTGTGCCTCTTGCGCTTGCCTCGTGCCGACAAGCGAGTCCAGTCCACCAGGGGTCGGAGGCGGTCGTACTGCCGTATGAACTCGGGATCCTTGAAGAAATGCATGGGCATCCTCTGCTCCGACGCCGCTGCCTCGCTACGCACTTCGATACGTATGATGACAGGGGCACGGTCACTTAGCCCCCGCTCATGCAGCAGCCCGGGATACTCAGGAGTGGCCGCACAAATGTGATGCTGAAGCACCTGCCAACTCGGAAGCGAAACGAAGACCCGATCAATCTGCGTGAGCTTGGGCTGCCACTCGTTAACCACGTAGTGCGTCGGCAGTTCGTTGTCAATCTCCACCATTCGATTGAAGAGCTCCTTCCAATACAGTGCATGCGGTCTGCGGGCCGTGTCACCAGAACTTCGCCGACGATCAATCTCTGGGGCCCGCGGGCACATCGGCAGCTGCCTGTAGATGCTGAAGTCGCCCAGCAGGAACACCGTGACCCGCTCGGGGGCCATGTCGGCCATGGTGAGGTCCGCCGATAACTTTGCCCGCAGCACCTCCCTCTCACTGTCCGTCAGATTGAAGTTGTGCACATTGTAAATGACCGTGCTACATGCAAGAGTCGCAGCCTGGGCAGGGATCCCCGAAATACGCAAACGCTGTACCCGTCCACGGGCGGGGGTATCGCGCACGCACCGCGCTCTGCGCTCGACCCCAGAATCACAAGGCATGATGAGAGCCACTCCCCCAGCACCGGCCTGAGGAAGAAAGGAACAGAAGGCACGGTGAGGAATGCGAAGCCGATGGAGTGCTTGACGCTGCTCCGCCTTGGCCCCGTGGACCTCCTGAAGCGCCATGACGGTGCCGCGGCGCAAGTGTTGCGCCAGATATTGAAGCTTGTGTTCTCGAACCCCACCTGCACGTCGGTCGCGATGAAGAAGGGCACGCGCGTTCCACGTGCCCATCGCCAGCGGCGCCGAAGACGCGGACGGTGGTCTCCAGCACGCAAATCGATCATTAGATAGACCACTGCACTCGCTCAGCCTCGCCGAATAACCCCATCGAAGGCGTCATTGACAGAAGACTTGTCCAGACCAAGATCAGTGACCATGCGATAGTTCCATTGAAGGCTCGTCGCCACACTCGCTTCGTCGGTAATGATGACCCTGACCACAGGGGAGGAGCCTTGATAAATGACTCCCTGTGCTCTGTTCGCGCGCCATCGACCAGGTAGGCCCTCGCGCTCGATGATCTCGAGGAGCTTCTTCGTCTGGATCTCGCGGCGCACCATCTGCGCATTCTTGTCCAAACAGATGAACAGAGAAGTCCGAGCGCCAGCAGGAGTAGTGGCCTCGAAGCGCCCCCAGGCGCCGTTGTCCATCCTGAGCTTCTTGAATTCGTGCTGAACGTTACGTGCGGCGAGGCCCTCGGCGCCCTTGAACTGCACGATGTAGCGCCGTCCAAGGCTCTCGCCCCGAATCTCCCACTGGTCCTCCGAGAAGCCGCCCGCCGCCATCCACTCAAGGACACTGGCACGGATCTCCTCCTTCGCGACGGGCTCCTGCGCGGTGGCCGTGAAGACGGCGCGGTTCGGCCCCCTGGTGAAGCTGGCATTCTCGGCGACGTCGTATACAGCAGGCACCGCCTGCTCACACTGATGAACGATCTGCTGGAACCGCTTGACCTCCTCGTGCATCGCTCTGTGTGAGCGCTCCAACATATCCTGCCGTGAGTCGAGGTCACGCACTCGGAGGCCCATCTCCCCATTGAAAGTTTCCTGTCGAACAGCGAGGGCACGAACAGCTTTGGCCGCCCCCTCATGGATGTTGCGTTCCATCTTGGCTGTGGCTTCGGCAACCGAGGCGTGCACCGACTGGGTGACGTCCGCGCGAAGCGCGTTGGGGATGTCATCCAGGTCGCAGCGGCGCACGACGCGCTCGTCATGGACGGCTGGCGTGCCAGGAGCAGGCCCAGGAGAGCCAGGAGCAGGAAAAGGAGCGCCGACATCCACCGCCGCGGCCGCCCCGCCAGACCCAGACGATCCTGCCGCAGGGCTGCTCGCCTGGCGCCGCGGGTCAGCTTCAATGAGCGCGTCGACGCGACTGGCTTTGCTGCTCGGCTCCTCAGACTGGTCGCCAATGAAGTGGTGCCTGAGCCTCGACGCTGATGCTGCACTGGCTGGACCCCGTCCACCGCTCTCCCCGATGACCTCCTTAGCGCCACCCACGCGCCCGCCGCTAGCACCGCTGTGCTGAGAAGAGTCCGCAGGGCCATCAGGCATCGAAGTGGATGTGCAGAGCTATGGCAACGAGGTGAGGGATGAAACCCCAGTTACCCCCGCAGGGGATGTAAGAAGTAGATATGCTCGAATCCGAGGCACCAGAGGACTGGATTGGAGAGTGGCCTCAAAGCGGAACCTCCCTCGCGCTCTGATGTCGCCCCGAAAGACTCGCGGTCGTCGGGGCGGTTCATAGCCTTGAACCAAAATGGCTACGGCTACGTATATATATACATATATACCTATATTTATATATATATATATATATATCGAAAGGAAGAAAAAGAGAGAAAGAGAGAGAGAGAGAGGAAAAAAGAGAGAGAGAGAGAGAGAAAGAAAGAAAGGAATGAGAGAGAGAGAGAGAAAGAGAGAAAGAGAGAAAGAGAGAAAGAGAGAGAGAGAGAGACAGACAGACAGACAGACAGACAGACAGACAGACAGACAGACAGACAGACAGACAGACAGACAGACAGACAGACAGACAGACAGACAGACAGACAGGCAGGCAGGCAGGCAGGCAGGCAGGCAGGCAGGCAGGACGACAGACAGACTGACTGACTGATTGACTGACTGACTGACTGACTGACAGGCAGACAGACAGACACAGACAGAGGCAGAGGCAGGGGCAGAAGCAAAGGCAGAGACAGAGACAGAGACAGAGAGGGAGAGAGCAATGTGTTGATCTCAACGCCTCGCACCTCCTGAGTGCACCAAGCAAACGAACGACTGCGATGGAGGGAAGCGCAGCCACCCTGACAGGGGGACGTTGTCAGCGCCCTCGTCGGCCCCCCGGAAGGCCCACAGTGAGGGCCAGAAGTTCTAAGTTCGACTCGGTGAAAAATCAGCCGAAGCTTCAGAAACAACATGCAAGTCAGACTGCACGAGCGGAAGCGGTAGGCCGATGCACGGCTGCTGGAGACGACCTCGAGCCCCCCCGTCGGGCCCCCCGAACGCCCCGCCCGTCCCCCAAGACCTTCGATCAGAAAGAATGAGCCTGGCGAAGGACCCAACCATACGCACCTGTGAATACCATAGTTGTGATCCTCCTATGGGGTTACGAAGCGTGCGAAGGGTGCGCCGACATGTGCGGGGACACCGTGCGGGCGCTACCACTGGCGAATTCGAGCATCGCGAGGAAATTGATTGACATGAAGGAGGGGGCAGCAACAGGAGACATTGAGGCCTTTGCTAGGGCCCCCAATAGGGCCACGAAGCGCGTGAGAGGTATGCCGACATGCTGGGCAGGACCGCACGCGGGCGCTGCCACTGAAGCCCCAGGTGGATCTCCCTACGGCATAATCCTATGGGGCTACGGAACATGAAGGGGTCGCCGAAACAGAAGGTGCTGGGGCCTTCAGTGGAGCTCCCGGTAGGGCCATGAAGCGTGCGAGGGATGCACCGAAATCGCGGGTGGAACCGCACGCGGGCGCTGCCACTGGCGTCTTCGGTGGAGCCCCCTACATGGCAACGAAACGTGTGTGCAGGTTCGCCGAGATGTATAAGGTGGAACCGCATGCGGGCGCACCCACTGGGGCCTTCGGTGGAGCTCCCTTTGGGGCCACGAACCGTGCGAGGGATGCACCGAAATCGCGGGTGGAACCGCTGCCACTGGGGCCTTAGGTAGAGCTCCAGGCGGGGCCACGAAACGCGTGAGGAGTGCACATAGAGGAAGGTGGAACCGCATGCGGGCGCCGCCACTGGGGCCTTCGGTGGAGCTCCCTATGGGGCCACGAACCGTGTGAGGGACGCACCGAAATCGCGGGTGGAACCGCTGCCACAGCGTAGCCACCGGGCGCCTAGCGGGGCTCGCCCCCCTGCTCCCCTACGAGCTCTCACCCGGAGGGCAAGGGTGGCGCGGGAACTGACCCCGACGGCGTACTCACCGCAGTGGCGCTGGCCGGCCGCCAGCCCACAGACTCCAGCACGCGCCGAAGCTCGCCGCTGACCTGCCGCTCGTACCCACACGCCTGGCGGAGGAGGCCGTCCGCGATGGCGCAGAAGCTCGAGGCCGCAATTCCGCCAGCCGCACGCGCCGCTCCCACGGGCGCCGGCGCTGGCTCCGCCGCCGCCCCCGCCGAGGGCACTGCCAGCCTGCCGCTGCCGCTGCGCTGCCGCAGGCGGCACGCCGCTAGCTCCAGCCGAGCCCTCCACAGCTTCACACGCCCAGTCACGACGCGGCCTGCGCCCAGGCGCGGCCCGTCGTCGATCTGGGTGTCGTCGCCGAAACCGTCGACTCCATCGTTATCGAGGGCACCTGCGGCCGCTGCAGGGGCAACGGGCCCAAGGCCGACCAGCGCCAACGGCGCGCCAGCTTCCTCCGTCGCCACCTCCATCGCTGCCGCCCCCCCCTTCTCCAGCTCACGCCGCCCCGCCAACCTCTGGCGGCGCCTGCCGCGCCTCTCGCGCTGCGCCTCCGAGGAGGCCCGCGGGCGCGCAGCAGCAGCAGCAGCAGCAGCAGCAGCAGCAAAAGCAGCAGGCTCACCAGGGCGCACCGCGCCGCCAGCGGTGGCAGGCTCGCGCTTCGTCGGCCCAGCCGCGAACGCTGCCGCCGAGACCGCTGAGCAGGCCACCGCCGCGACGACGCGGCGCGGTGCACCAACTTTCGCGGCACCGCGGACAGCAGCAGCCATGAGAGACGCCAGGTCCGCCGACGCCGAGGCAGCTCCTCTAGGCTGCGCCATCCCGCGGACCCGCGAGGAGGAGGAGGAGGAGGAGGAGGGGGAGGAGGAGGAGGAAAGGATGAGGAGGAAAAGGAGTCCACGTCGCCTGGGGGGGGACGGGTCGTGCAATCAATCTACATTCGATTGCCTGTATGAGACGGCGCAACCCGAGATATGGAGCGGAGCG